TAATTGATTGAAATGTAATGGTTGATTTTGTTGATTTCAATCTACATTATGTTGAAATGAAAATCGCAATGCGAAATGAAAATCGCAACGAGAGAATTGCAATGCGAAATGAAAATCGCAATGCGGAAATGAAAATCGCAACGAGAGAATCGCAATGCGATTTTCATTTCGCATTGCGATTTTCATTTCCGCATTGCGATTCTCTCGTTGCGATTTTCATTTCGCATTGCGATTCTCTCGTTGCGATTTTCATTTCGCATTGCGATTTTCATTTCCGCATTGCGATTCTCTCGTTGCGATTTTCATTTCGCATTGCGATTTTCATTTCCGCATTGCGATTTTCTTGTTGGGATTTTCATTTCGCATTGCGATTCTCTCGTTGCGATTGTAATTTCCGTGTTGCGATAGTCAAATGCATGCCTAATAAGTGATAACAACTGAATAACAAGAGTTGGTTTAGTCAAAATGGTTGGCCTGAGTCATTAATTCAACTGAAAATGTTAAAAGTTCACACATAAAATCCACATAATACAACGTTTGCATTTAAAAATCACCTAAGTTAACAGTCCCAAAAGGTGAAGCCAATTGTGATTGGGATTTTAAAGATGATTGCCTTTTGCTTGACACCATATGAGCTTTGGATTTTGATGAGGATCCTATTTTGGTAGAGGAAAAGATGATTTTGATGGCACTGGTGATCCACATGTCAACCTTGTATGACCACTTTCCTTGCACCGACTACATATCGATCTCTTCTTCTCTTCACCCTTAGACGGTATACGATCGTGACTTTTTCGGCCAGGTAGCCTTCTGTCCATGGCTGGTGGCAAAACTGTTTGTAAGTCATCTGGTATGTCCCACTCAGAAGGATGTGGAATAGGGTAGACAATCTCGGCATAAGTCTGTCGATAAACTTCTGTAGTGTAGCAATCCATAGCGTATGCGCTTGAATCATCTTGGTTTAGATGAAGAGCAACTTTTATAACATGGCCACACGGATAACCAGATGTTTGCCATTTCATACAACTACACGTCTTTGCATTTAGATCGACTAGCCCATTTAAGTTATTATCCAGTACTTGAAACAAAGTGTTTGAACATGGTTCAACTCTCCATGACGTTGACTTCACAACACGTTTCGTTATCTTTTTTTCAGTCCATGGTGTAACACGATGTTCCAATGTTCCTGTAAATTTAAATAAACAATACTTAGTAAAATATATAAATATGATAAGTTACGAATTCAAAGAAATAATACCTGCATGGTTTCTTTTCTTGTAGTACCACTGTTGAATAGAGGCTCGAAAAATCTCCATTAACATAGTAATGGGTAATTTCCGGGAATGACGACTTAGAGCGTTGATTGATTCTGCACTATTAGACGTTATGAAACCATATCTTGCTCCAAGTTGATGTACTCTTGACCATCTTTCAAACCCGACATCATCTAGTGTTTGAGCACACTGAGGCAAAACACGTCTTAAACAATTTATATGCTTATTGAAATCCACTTCCCGATAAGCTTTTACAGCCTTCCAGTATGTCCATTTGTGCTTTTTTATACCAGCAGACCTTGATTTTAGATTTCTATACAAATGAACACCACAAAGTCCATGAAAAGCATCTGGGAAACACCTTCTAACAGCGTTGTCAATTGAGTTTGCCCTATCGAATATGATTGTCAGATTGCTAATAGGACCTATGCAATCCCTAAGATGCCCATAAACCATGTCCATGAATCAGAGGTTTCATATTTGCCAACCCCGTAAGCTATTGGCAATATCCCATTGTTAGCATCCATGGCTACTGCTAATAAGTTTACTCCAAGGTATCGACCTTTCAAATGTGCTTCGTCAACTATAATAACTGGGCGCATGCAAGTAATAAACGAACGAATCTACAAAATAATATACACAAGAAATATAATCATTTAAATGTGAAATGCATGTAACTAACAAAAATGAGTCAACAAAATTATATTGATTTACTAACCGTAGCACCAATGGCGATAAACAGCAACTCAAAGTGTCCATCTCTATCTGTTTTGATATGAGTTACCGACCCAGGATTTTTCAGCTTTAAATTGTGACAATAAGCCGGCAGTTGGGCAAACGATGCTTCTGGCGACCCCCTCAACAATTCCAAGGCATAACATTTGGCTCTCCAAGCTTGAGAATATGATATACTAATCTTGAATCGAGCATTCATGTCAGTCATAATTTCATGTCCCCGATATACCCTGCCATTCAAAAACATTAACTCAGCCAGAAAACCACCCAACACCTTTTTGTTTGCCTGTCTATGGTGAGGAAAACTTGGGTTCTTGAACATGTATGTTTATCAATAAAAGTCCTAACTTGAAACACTTCGCAATCTTTTATTCTCTTTGCAATCATACGCCACGTACAGTTTTTGTCAATCATACACCTTGTTTCGAAACGATCTTTGCTTGATTTGTTAACTTTTAGTTGATAGCCATCTTCCACACATTTCGTATACAAAGCTATCTTCAAGTCTTCCTTTGTATCAAAACAATCATCTTTCTTGATACGAATAACTTTTGTGTAACAATCAACTGCTTTCTTTACCAACTCTTCTTCCGGTATCTGAAGTAATTCTGGCATATTCCAGTTATACGCCCGTGGCATTTTCTTTTCTTCGGGGACTTTTTCTTCTTCTTTTTCTTCTTCAGGATTATATGAATTACAGAATGGATGTTCAACATGTTCATTCACAGTCGTAACTTCCTCCTCATTATCATCAACAATACATTCTTCGACAACGGCTGTTTCATCATCAAAATTCGGGTATTGACCAATATCAAAATCATTACACGCAGGGTCTGTTTCTTCTTCTGAAACATCATCAAAATCCGTGTATTGACCAATATCAAAGTCCGGATATTGACCAAGACCAAATTTCGAATACTGACTAGTACTCACAATTTTTTCTGTTGGCTCATCATCGTCTAACTGGTCAATACGAAAACCGGAATTTGGTGCTGAAAGTTGATTGGGATTTGGATTAGAGAAAGGTTGTGGGTTTTGAGAAAAACTTAGTTGATTACTACCCGCTACTGACCCAACAATACTACTTCTAGGTTCAACAACATACAATGTAACATCATCTTGTGAAACACTAATGTAAGCAATGAATCGTTCAACATCTTCATTGTCGGTTAACAAATAAACTTTACCATTTCTCTGATAAGATAGCCTAAATCCACTTAGGGGCTCTAAATTCAATTTATTTGAAACACGTAGCATTAGAGTTTCATAAGTTAACTTTTGTAAAGACAATTTTAGTTGAAGATTCATGGGTAAAGGCATATATTGTAAAACACCATGAACATTATCCCATGACCCTCCAAAACACAAATCTATCCAAACATGATCAGCATTAGATGATTTCATGGTTGTAAATTAATTTACTAAACAGACGAGCTGCGAAACTAAAACCTGTTGCCGGATTGGGAAGGATGTCGTTGGATATAAGAACGGATGTCGCCGGAGAGAGTGATAGATGGAGATGGAATGAGTTGCGATTTAGGGATTTAGTTTATGATTTGCTGCTGTTGCGTAGTTATATACCCAAAATTTCAGTGTTGTGATTTACAGATTCTCGTTGCGATTTACGGATTATCGTTGCGATTTACAGATTCTCGTTGCGATTTACTGATTATCGTTGCGATTTACGGATACGCGTTGCGATATACGGATACGCATTGCGATTTACGGATACGCGTTGCGATTTACGGATACACGTTGTGATTTACGGATACGCGTTGCGATTTATGTGTTCGCGTTGCGATTTATGTGTTCGCGTTGCGATTTTCATATTCGCGTTGCGATTCTGTAAAATCGCAATGCGAATTTGTACTATCGCATTGCGATTGTCAAGAATCGCGTTACGATTTTGGAAACTGGTTTGCGATTCTGGGGATCGCGTTGCGATTTTTATTTCGCGTTGCGATTTTGTTGGTCATTTTGGCAAATCCAAAAAAAGTTGGTTAAAATCGTATATTATAAGGCATTTTTGGTCACTGAGGCGATTTTCTCTTAAAATAATCCATCTCGAAAACTGCAGCCACGTGAAGTAAAGACCAGTCGGTCAAGTCTGAACTGAAAATGTTGATAAATCGGATAAAGTAAACGAAAGAACACAAGAATTTTAATAAGGTTCGACAATGTGCTTACGTTCTCGGTGTCTAGGCGTCACTAAAAAAATTTTATTCAGTGATAATAGGTTTATGTTACATCTCTATTTATAATAGAAAACCCTGGTACATAATTACAAAATTAACCCTATACCGTACTGCGGGATTTATGAGCCATACCTTACAAATCTCCACCTTGGCGAATATCCTACCCCTTAGGAAACATTCAATGTGGGTTGGGTTACCTTATTTCTTTAACAACTTGAAACATTCAACAAATCCAAGCAATGCTTGAACTTGTCTGTTGTAACTGGCTTGGTGAACATATTAGCGGCATTCTCATCAGTGTGTACCTTCTAAAACAAAATCTCTCAAGATGTAACCAACTCTCTGATCTTGTGAAAACGTACATCAATGTGCTTAGTTCTAACACGATATACCTGATTCTTAGCTAAGTGAATAGCACTTTTATTATCGCAGAGCAGCTGAACTCCACCTTGCTGAACACCCAACTCCTTCACTAAACCAGTGAGTCATAAAGCTTCTTTTGCAGCTTCAGCCGCTACCATGTACTCAGTTTCAGTTGTAGATAGAGCCACAACAGATTGAACAGTAGACTTCCAACAAATAGGTCCTCCACCAAGAGTAAAAACATACCCTGTCGTAGATCTTTTATTATCCAAGTCACCTGTATAGTCTGAATCCACATATCCTACAACCAAATAATTATCTCGTTGACTATCAAAAACAATTCCATATCCTACAGTACACATTAAATATCGATATATTTATGAAATATACCTTAAAAAAAAACAAGGTTGAAGTAGTAGCAGGCGGCACTTCCCGACAAATAATTTCCTCATCAGATCCCAAAAAGCCGTTCGGTTCGTCCCTCACAATGGAAGTTTTCTAGCCCCTCCAACCAAGTTATGAAGATGGCTACTTCTCTCGTACTGAGTCGACTCTTCCTTTCTTACTCTGCAGCCGCGTCTACGACCACAACTCTAAGATCACACTCTGGGTTTCTCTACTCTAGAACCCGAGGAAGATGCACTCCTCGGTAAGAACATCAAATGCTTATTTGTTTCAGTTTTTCACAGCTCAGTGTGTTATGGCACCGAGTTGACTCTTGGGGATGCATAATGTCGAGTGCTGTTGATTATCCTCAGGTTCTGGAGCAGCAGGAGAGAGGCTGGGCCAAGGATGGTTCCATATGGATCGACGGTATCGAAGGTGTTCAGGTCGAGGGCGAGTGAACGGTTCAGATCCGATATGACATTGTTTGAAACAAGGGCCGTGAATGAAGAAGGGGACGTGTTCAATGAACTGGTGAAGCAGGCGAGTGCAGCCTTGCTGAACTCGTACGCGAGGAAAGGGTTCCCTTACTCGGCGTGGGAAGTGAAGACTCTGATGATTCAAGGGTTGGTCTCAGAAGGTGCCGCGGCACGCCTAACCCAACGCTTTTTCATTGCTAATGATGCTTGTATTTAGTACTAATGGGTTTATTGAAGCCATAGGGGAAGATAGTCTTGGTTAATGTTGTATGACTGTTCTTCAAGGTATTGAAGGACCATTTGAAACATAAAATTGTTGCTTCTTCCAGCTTCCTCTGACTCAAAATCAGCTTAATTCTCAATGTTTTTGCTTAATTCAAACGGTGCATATGGTTTCTTCTATTCCAATTAGGTTCATTACGTATTGCATTCGGTGAGAGGACCGGCTTCTGGAAATCTGGAGCCGGCACTGCGGAGACTGCGAGTATTGTTTTCTTTGCCAACAACACAGATATTGGAAATTACAAGACGGTTTTTGTGTAGTAGTACGGATGTAAATGAATTTAGCTTGAACTAATAAATTAATATTCATATTCTTTTGTTTGTTTAAATTGTTTATGTTTGGTTTGTGTTTGTTTAAATTTTTAATATTATGTTTATTTTTGTTTATTTAATTTTGAGGATGTTCGCATTTGTTCCTTTAGTATTCGCGAACATGTTTATTTGCCAATTAAAAATGACAAAATTATACCACTATTGCTTAAAATCCTTAAATTTCATAGTTTAAACTTCAAATCTCATCATGTGTTTAATTTAGTTCATATAATCATCAATTTTAAAATGTAAAAAAATAAAAAATAAATAAGTTTGTTCATGATCATAAACGAACGAGTCGATAAACGAATTTGTTCGTAATCGTAAACAAACCAAACATATCTCTATTTGTGTTTATTCGTTTATTAAATAAACATAAAAAATTATTTATATTTATTTATTTAGCTTACCAAATGAATATAAACGAATTTTATACGAATGATTCAAGAACAATTTATCGAATGTTCTGCTCATTTACTCCCATATTAGCAGGAGGAGCTATATTAAGGCTAATTAAAAGTAATAATTCAATTTTTTTTCTTATATTTAATACTTATGTACCTTAACAATAATTACAACTTAGTCTTATGAAAGTAGATATAAAGAAAATGATATGCTCTCCAACATTTTATCAGCAATGACGAGTGGGCCTTGGCTGCTACGATACTTTCAACTTGGATGAGGTATATTGTGAAAAGTAGAGAAAATGCAAAGGCAAGATAACCTATATGAGAATCTTTTGAACCAACAAGTGGGTTGCAAGCAAAAATGTTGTTTGTGCCGATTAAACATACATTCGTGGAATTTCAACTAAAGCCTTTTTTTAACCATTAATTAACTATAAGAAGAATGTTTTTTTTCCCAACTTGTCGGTTGAATTAGCTTAGGATCTAAGCTGCTATATTAACCTTAAATAAATAAATAAAGTTTGCTTTCCAACTACCAATCTTCCACTATCTTATTAATATGGGTAAACTAAGATGTTCGTCACTCGTTTATCTTCTCATAAAATTCAAACGTTTTCAATTTAATCACTAATTTTTTGAATTGTTCCCGTTTTAATCACACCATTGTTAAATAATTAACTACGCTACGACATGGAAACTTACACCAAAATAGTATCATTTTGGATCCCTACATAAGACCAAATTTAATATAAAACGACATCGCTTTATTTCCCTATAATTTTTTTCCATTTTCCTTCGTGTTTTCTTTCTTCTTTTTCTTATTCTTCTTCCTACTCCTCTCATTTTCTCTCTCTCAATATAAACGAATCCAGAATTTGACCACCACATTGGTCGTCATTCTACCCATTGTCGGTGGAGGTCAATGAATCTCAAAATATCAAACCAAACTCGCCTGACTCTTATGAACGTGAATATGTTGTATGATCAATCAAAAAATTACTCAAACTCCACAAATCTAGTGTTGATACCATCATCATTGTGTGTTGTCGTGTTCCGATTACCAATCATGTTGATACTAGTGTCAAATAAAGTTTTTCATCTTCTTTTTTAAATCCTTTGGTTTAGATGTAAGTGAAACCAACCTAAAATCAACACAAACTAAATTAAAGCCCGAATCAAATAGTCTCGATTTGCGTCCCTTTCACCGTCCGATTGTTATTCAATTAAGATATATTACTCTCCACTAGACGTTTCATGCTTTAACCGTTGCGATCTACGATCAGAGACTTAGATGTATTAGAACTCGAGAACTTTGGGGCTTAGGGTTTTTTTTTATAAAGATTGTGGGGTTTGTGATGGTAAGGTCAATAAAAGTTTAGAGTTTAAGGTTTGTGATGGTTTATGAGCACTTTAGGGTTATGATAATGCGGGTGGGATCGATGAGAATTTGATGTGGTTGATGAGGGTTTAAGGATGAGACAATATGGGGCGGCCGGTGAGGGTTGGGTGGTTGGTTAGATCTAGGATTTGGGATTGGGATAAGAATTAGGATTAGGTTTTGGGATTTTAATTTAATTATTTTTTCTTTTAAATCTTATTTGGTGTTAAATATTGATACAATGACATGTAATAATAAATAATAATAAAATAATTCATGTATCTCATATTTTATAATTTAAACGATTGAGTAATTAAAACAAGTGCAATTCAAAAGTTTAATGATTAAATTAAAAAAATTAAACTTTGATAATTAAAATAGAAGAGAAAAGATAGTTAAACGATACACAGTATAATTTACCCGGTTAATATTTCTTGCATCAAGCAAATAGCGTAATAGCTAAGCGAGTCCCATAAAGCTACAAAGTTAAAGAATACGAATCACATGACAAGTTGAAGTTACCCGATTTATAATCTAAACCCTCTCTTGTTTTGCAGATCTCTCCTCCCATTGTTTCCATCTCTTTGTTCATGTCTTGCTTGAGAATAAGGCTTCCTCCAGCCAAGAAGGCATGGAAATGCTTCACCTCCATACTCCAAACCAGACTACACAAGCTTCACAAATCCAAAGCTATCAAAAAACCCAACAACAATACCCGCCTGCAAATACCTGCTTCCAATTCCACACGCCCTTCACTTTTCCTAAGGCCACAACGCCTTCAGTTTAAGAGCAAGAAGAGACGTAGTGCTCTTCCTTTTGGGTACCGACGCTACTATCTCTCCGGGAATAAAGCGGCGGCGCCGGTTTACATAGATAAGCTGTTTAAAGATGCGGCGGTGAGTGAAGTGGTGGGGTATATTCAGCAGCAACCGTTAGAGGAGAAGAATGGGAAGAAGCTCATTGATGAGACGGGAACAAGCAATGAAGGTGAAAAGCATGGTGCTGAGAAATCTGTAGGATTGTCGTCGCCCATGCTGTATGGAATAGATGCGAAAGCTGAGGAATTTATTGCAAGTTTCCGAGCTGAAATGGAGCGTCAGGAAATTATAGCACGTAATTTGTAGCGCTTGTTGGTTTTTATCTGTAAGGAATCAGCCATTACATACTTCACCCTGTCTGTCTAAACCACAATGCCAGAGTCCAACGTCACAGTCAACCAATCCCATTTAAAAGTCTCTAAACAATTTAACATTTAAAAATTAAATGTTGAAAAGCATCACGTAATAAGATTATGAAACACGAATGGTTTGTTCAAGTAATGGTTCGAGATGTTCTTTTTCTTGAAATTGTCAGTTCCATTAATTGAAGTGAAGCAATACTTAAACTTATTTTTTGAAATAATACAACAGTAATTGCCTAATAGGAACTTCATTCTTGACCGTAAAACATATCAGAATTCAACTTTTGAATTGTTGACAACAATAATCAAATTTTTAAAAAAGTGTTGCCAAGGTTCAAAGCTCGAGAATCTCATTATCATGGTTGTCCAAGATTGGGAGAAGGTAGAACAAAACAAATCTATGAAAAATTTGAAGGATTTGAATCAGTCACAAAAATTATCTATGGAAGTGATTATCCAACTTCAAATTGGATTATCAGATAGTCTTTTAAGCAATATCATAGTTTAGGAGCTAATCTGCAAAGAGTTTAATATTGGCGGTCAGAAAACATAAATAAAGCAAACATATAAACCTCAAACATGATCACCATCACGAATTAGACATGTTCATCTATAAACTTATCATGTTCTTCATGGGTTGACATATATAAGTCATAACCTTACCCACTATAGCAAGATAGTATGTTTAAACCTCAAAGATCATAACATACAAAGTCATACTTTACATGGTTTATACAAATAACTAAACCAACTTAAACATGGCTCAATTTTCATTTAATACATATTATAGAACTGCATATATGAAATGACCATCCAGCTCAGTTGGTAGAGCACACGACTCTTAACCTTGGGGTCGTGGGATTCATTCTCACGGAGGGCATTTCATAATTCGGAGGTCTCCTACAGAAGCTGCTCTCAATCTGGCGTTGGGGGCAGTCTACTATCTTAACTTCCCCTTATCCCATTACATATGGGACAGGGTCAACTAATTTTTTTTTTAGAAATGCGTATATAGTCACCATAATAGGAGTTTTAGTAAAAGATAGTTATACTAAAAAAAGATCGGTGATGACTTACGATCATAAAAACCAGAACGCGGAGAAGCCCTAGATTGGAAAACGCTCCTCCAAGCATAAGAAGGTCGAGCCCCTAATTGAGCCCCAAAGAGACCACCGTCGAGATAGTACTTGGCAGAGACGACACTTGCTACCAAGCTACTAGGGTGGCGAAGGAGGCGTCACAATTGCTTACCGAGGAGAGCAAGATTGAAGCGTTATAAATTCCAAACCCAAGATCACCTACTCGTTTCGAACTGCAAAGCGTCGACCAAGCAAGAAGAGGCCCAACTCGCTCTGTGGGACGCCTGAACCACCAAAAGTCACGCAGGACGCAGGTTATATCGTCTATCATGCCAAAATGAGCCAAAAAAAAACTTGCAGGTAAGTCGTCAATACCTTGTGCTTTATTGGGATGAATTTGGCGAAAAGAATGATACACCTCGTCCCAAGTAAACTCAGTAAGAAGATAAACATTTTCGGCGTGTGTAACAACAGGTACCACAGTATTCAAAACGGTCCTAGCCTATGGAGGACGAGAAGACCGAAGTAACATGGAGAAATAGGATACAACTTTGGTGTGAATTCGAACATTAGAAGTTAATTAAAATATTTAACGTTTAATTCTTTAAACCAATCAGTCAATTGTAAATTTTTAGGATAAATTACATCAAATACCGCTTAATTTTAGGGTCATATCATTTTTACAACAGAATGGTTGTCACTTGTTCCCATATGTAATGAGGTAAGGGGGAGGTAAAATAGTAGATTGCCCCCAACACTAGATTGAGAGCAGCTGGATGATCGTTTTTACAACAGAATTTTTTCTATTCCATTATAAATCTAGACTTTTATTTGTTGTAACATAAGCACTAGACTGTTAAAATCTAAGCCGCTTTATTTTCAGCATTAATAGAGACATAAAAAAGACACCATCTTGGCCACATCATTACATTGAAAGAAAGATTCACCCATATCATAATGTAGTTTAGATTTCAACGATCCAGTGCTTACATTGCAGTAAAATTCAAAGTTCATTTTTATAATTGAATTGAAATAAAAATAATGATAAAAACAATATAAACCTTAAAGTTGAGTCGTGCGTGGTTCCATGTTTTATTGTAATGTATTGTTTGAGAAAATAATCTCATTGTAGCACAATGATTGCGTTGAGAAAATCAAGTTTCATTCTATGAAATTATAATTCAATTTATATATATTTATTGACGACTCCAAATCTGCTACGGAATCCCTTGCCTTTGATGTGGATTAGAATGACATTATAATTAATTCGTGAGTGTGAGAAAAGAAATTAACTAGCCGTTGTCTAATTGATATGTAGTGGACATTTTAAAATGCCGTGTGGCTTTTTATTAATTTTTTGGTATAATTATTGGTATTCAATTTATTAATCGATTATTTCGAATTAAATTTTGCAGGAACAATGACGACATTCTCAATCTTTTTTTTTGAATATTGGAAGACTAAGTGTGTGCATGGCGTGCATGGTGTAACTCAAGCAGACTTACGTTCTCTAGGGTGTGTTGTGCTGTAGATGAGCTAAACCTAGGGTTGTTAGCTCAGCACGGTTAAGACTGTTGAATCTAACAATTTTCAATTACTTCTTGATTCAGCAATTGAGTGCTAAAAAGCAATGTAACTCAGCAGACTTAAATGATGAAAAATGAAGATATAATTGCTTTCATATTTCTCGTATTTCCCAACATGGTATCTTTAGCTAAGGGTTCTGGGGTTTCTGCTTTCTTGTTGCGTCTTCCTTGAGTCATCGCTGATCGCCATGTTCACGAATAAGAAAGTCAATGTTGTCTTGGATGAGACAAACTTCCTTCTTTGGAAGCAACAAATTCTTCTTACGGTGCGTAGTCATCATATGGAGCGGCTTCTCAATGGTACGATGTCGGTTCCACCTGAATTCATCGTTGATGCTAACGATGCATATGTTGTTAATGAGGCCTTTGAAGATTTCATGGCTTAAAACTGTGCTCTTGCCTCATGGCTTCTGTCGACGATTAGTGCTCCTCTCTTGTCAAGGAAGAATGTTGGAAGACTAAGTGTGTGCATGGAGTATATCCGATCAAGCAGAAGTGTATCTAGGCTAGACATGATCACAACCATAAATGATTGATACTCTCTTGGAAAACCCTTCAAAATACTAACAATATGCTCCACGTGTGAAACCGGACTGCCACACGATACAAGAGCATCACAAACCTCCTTAATACGAGTGAGATACACACACATCGAATCATCACCTTTCCTCAGTGATTGCAACTCATAGTGCAAATTCATCACCGTTTTTGTGGATTTCTTGGCAAAGAATTGAATAAATGTGTTCCAAACAACCACCACATACTCAACACCAACAACTGAGGCAAGAGAGAAACACTAATCATCGACATAAGTCAAGAGGCAAGAGCACTGTCATGTTCCAGAATAAGTTTGTTTTAGAGTTGTTAGAAAATACTGACATGTCAAAGCTACACCTACCAGCACTCCTATGATTCTGTCTAACAAACTCCAACGAGATACCAGAGAACTACTTGGAAATGCTCGTGAATTTCGAAGCATGGTTGAAGCATTACTGTATGTCTGTCACACGAATGCATTTTATGCATCGATGCACAGACCATGCATCGATGCACTCAGGCTTGTTTAAAACATCGAATGCATTTTATGCATCGATGCACCCTTAGTGCACTGATGCACTAAGTATTCCAACGGTCGAAATATTTGAATTTTACACTTGACTCCACTAATCATCCCCAACGTTCAGAATCAATTGAAGAAGTATTTAAACAAGCTTGGGAGCCATTGATCAACAATAAGAATCAAGAATCAAGAGAGAATCAAAGAGAAAGCATCAAACCTCAAGTTTGAGCAATTTCAAGCCAAATTTCATTCAATATTCATCTTTGCTTTCAAGAACACTTATTTTGCTCAATTTTATTATTCTTGAGTGTTCTTTATTTGTTCTAGAATTGTGCAAACATCTTTCCTTGTGAGGATTTTATTGTAAGTTTGCAAAATTTGTATTGTTCTCTTTGGGAGAGGGTGTTCTCAAGAATTTAGGGTATAATTCTTGAGGGATTTGTAAGGTTACTCTTTGTCCTCAAAAGAAAGACAAATTAGTGAATTTGTGGAAAATCCTTAGTGTAACATCCCCAACCCGTATCCGACCCGGATACGAGTCCGAAGTGTCACATTGACTTTTCAAACATTTATTCGTATAAAATAGTGAGTAATTTTAAAACTTTGATAACATTTAAATTACTTCAAAACGTTTACAACAGATATCAGAGTTCATACCATTTATATCTTTAGACTACATGCCAACTACACTCTGTAAACAGTACATACATTTTCTGATCTGACATTTGGTAAGGAGAACTGACCTGTCTTGCTCCGCATTACTCTTTATTCTTCTCGAAACCTACGTGTGAAACAATCACACGCTAAGTCGTTGACTTAGTGAGGCAATAATTAAACATATAACAATAAATTCATGAACGTGCATTCATACCATTGAATCATGACATCTCAATATGCATGTATCTATTGCATGATAACAATATATATAATCATGTCATACACACACACAACATATCTTCTTGTATTACTTTCACTTTTCGTTTGTCTTCCAATTGCATTGCCCATGTATATTATTATCTTTATCAACATCATTATAATTCAAGCAATACATGACATATCACCCTAAGTATATACATCACATATATCTTATACATTCCATTCCATGTTATCTCTTATTAGCCCATGTGCACCTGTGAGAACTGTAGATATGTGAGTCTATTGAGGTTGTGCACCACTATGCTGTCACCACAGCTCATATAAATGTCCCGAAGGACCTATCCAGAGATCACACAGACCCCGGTAACTATCCAGAGGTCATAAAGATCCTCGGTAACTGTCCAGAGGTCATAAAGATCCTCGGTAAACTGTCCATATGTTCCTTAGA